CACAGGCGCACACAGACACAGGCACGCACAGGCGCACACAGACACAGCCGCCGATGTACTGCGTGAAATGCCACAAGTTCGGCTCCAACACCGTTTTTTAACTTGGGAGGAACGTGATTTGGCTATGCCCAAGCAAACTATATTTCTTTCTGGGGGGAAAAAAGTAAAAATTCTGGCTTGAGAGTGCTTCTGTCGCAATACGTTATTGCTTCCATGTGAAAACAAACAGCCCGGCTTTCTCTGGGCCTGACGAGAATGTGGCTGCTCCTTAGGACGTCCAGGGAGAAGGGGGAAGGTGATATAATTAAATATAAAAGCACATGGCACCTTCTGTCAATATGAAACGGCCAAACGGGAACACAAACACAATAACTCAAAGAGCTGACGCCTTAGCGTGAGAAGTTTCACTGTCACATGTGCATTTATGCCACTTTCATAACCAATTAACACTTACAATTAGTATTTTTCATACATAAAGAAAAGGACCCCGTCAATCACACATCTTTTAGCCACTGTATCTGGTCAGGGTTACATGGGGGGGGGGGGTTCTGCAGCATAGTGCACAAAGCTGGTGTGCAGCTGGGACAGGATGCCAGTGCATCACAGATGAGAAACACCCACCCAGCCACACACCGCAAGATATTTTACAGGTGCCAGTTTAGCCCAAATACACATCCTATTACAAGAGAAGATGTCAGGTTCCACACAGATAGCAGGTCTGGGGCTGTCCACCGAGCCACCATCTTCATCGATCAAAGAAAACAAAGATATGACATTTTAAGAAACATAGCTTAGAAAGGTCTGTCACAAAAAGGAATCAGCAGAAGCTGCTTTTTGAAGCAGCAATTATTAGCAGCTAAAGAGAAAAATGTGTAAAGTAATGTGTAAGCTGACTGGCACCTTATAAGCCCAAAGTGCACGATGAGTCTGTAGGGGTCTTTGGGGGGTATTTGAATAGCAGTCATCTGAGGTTCTATGGCTGAGTCTCTCTCTCCACCCAAAAGCACATCAGTGCCTTTCTTGCTCTGGCACTTGTAGACCTCTCTCTCTCTCTCTCTCTCAGCGAATGCTCCATCTCAGACTGCAGCCATAAGCTGAGCTCAGTCTTTGTGTGAGTGACACCACTGTGGGTTCCAACCGTCCACCTCCATCCATCCATCCATCTATCCATCCATCCATCCACATTATTTCATCCACATCCATTCATCCCTACACATCATCCATTCACATTCATCATCTATCCACAGCCATCCATCCACTTCCATTCATCCATCCACATCATCCATTAACATTCATCATCCATCTTCCAACCTTATGTTGGTCAGGGTTGTTGGAAAGTAGGTTCTAAATAGCCCCAAATGATTGAATATTGGGTTGTTTGTCTTACCTGGAGGCAAGATGTGTGAAAGTATTAAAGCACTTAGAGTACATGTTCAAGGCTGTAAATTTGGTGGTAGTTGGTTTGAAGGGGACCTTCAGCTAGGGGTGCTCTGTGGCTCAGCAGGTTATGGTGCTGTAACCGGAAGGTCACCAGTTTGAATCCCATGTTCAGCAGAGCAATTTCATCACTCTGCCCTTCAACAAGGCCCGTAATTAATCCCAATCAATCCAGGGACTGTGGGACCCAGTTTACTGAATTCCATGTCACTTTGGATAAAAGCATATACTAAACAAATGTATGTACAACTTCTGCTGGTAATAGCAACTAACAGAATAATTTCACACCATAATCAAGCCAGGCTTTGACTGAAAATAACAGAACAAATTACTAATTAAATAAACCAGTGTTCTGTCGAAAAATACTACCTATCGAGACGTGCTATCGAGCCTTTCTGCGCATGTGCAGTTCCACCGTCTTGGGATTAGGGTTAGGTTTTAGGGGTTAGGGTTAGGGTTAAGGTAAGGGTTTTAGGGGTTTTGGGGGGTTAGGGTTAGGGTAAGAGTTAGGGTTAGGGTTAGGGTTAGGGTAAGAGTTAGGGTTAGGGTTAGGGCTATCTATTAGCACTACGGTAGTATTTTTCAACAAGGCAGCATATATCGACAGAACATCAGTTTTTTAAAAGGGCAAGAAAAACTGCAATATTTGAGGCCAAATCTCTGGACTACTGGAAGGCTCATGAAAATTTGCAAGATTTTGTGCACTCAGACAAACGGGCCAGTGTTGTATTCAGCCGTAGTTTTATTATATTCTTATGATCTATCATTTTAAGAAACACATTTGTATCTTTTTGAGATAGTCATACACAGATCATTTTATTGCACGTATTCTAAGATCACAGCATATGTCTTATATATAGCTATTAAAGAGCAATGGAGGTTTTCTGTACCAAGGACCAGGCAACATGTATTGCAATGGTTTCTGCTTAAATTTCCATTTGGGATCAATAAAATATTTTATTATATAATTCTTATTTTTAAAGTACTGCTCTAAATACACATAAGTGACATGGTATTAATTTGTTACATTGTATAGGCGTATTAGATATTTAAAATGCCTCAACATACAAACGACAAAGGACATCCCTCAGCAACTCTCTGACTCAATGGGAGTTATAGGGGTTTGTCATTTGTGGAAGTGATATTTTGATGTTCTAATGTTAGGTGCTGCATAATGTCTGTAGTGGACTATTCACTGCAAGGGGGGAGTCTTGAATGTTAATGGAAGTGAGTCCAGTTTACGTCAAAGCAGCATAGCACATCATAGAAGGCGAGAATATGTGTGTACGGCCAAGTTCACCAGTTTTGCTCTACACCAAAGCTCTGTTTGCAAGTTGGTTCCTTTTAGATCGGTTTGCTCTGTGACGTGTCCAGGCATTTTGTAGGTTTCAGGAACCTCCCGCTTACCTGTTTGCCGTGGATGTGGTGTGAACTGGAGGTTGACGACCTGGAAATAATGAGGCTGCGATCAGCCCAGGGAGATCCTACCTTCTAGCGAGTTAGGAGTAATCATTAGTTTCCAAAGCTCTGCTTTTGGAGTACAACCAGCACTAAATGAGTTCTTTGTTATTCCTGTCTGGTTTCACAACTCTTATTGTGTATTAAACTGAGTCAGTCGTGAGTCAATACTTTAAATTAAATTACTTTTGTGGGCAAACCAGTAACTATATATGTGTAAACCGATTAAAAGAATCTAAATAAAACTTGTTTTATTTGGATTATGTACTTTGCTCTAATTTATGATTGTGTATATATTGTTTATATTAATGAAATGTATTAATACTAATGGAAATGTGCCGTTATTTCATTATATGCCCTGCCAATTACTTGTTAAATGCATACATAAATCTTAGACAAGTTTTATTCAAAATGTTTTCACTTTCTATCGCGTTCAAATCAATTTAAAGTTTATCCAAAAAAACAGAAATAATCAAAAGCGAAGACATGAGAATAAACGCCCAAGTGGAATAAGTCGTCTTATCTTTTGGTATGATGTGTCAGGATGGCACTACGTGCGTGTGCTCAATTTGGGGGGCTGGAGCGGCGGAGCGGAGGGCCACTCCCTGTGGCGCGGTATATGACCTCCCTCCCTTCCCGCAGCTAAGAGCCCCATGCCAGTAGCATGGCTCAATACTCTACGCAGCCCGGAGTGTCTGCCACGCAAAGCTGAAGAGGGAGATCGAGAGAGAGAGAGAGGGAGAAAAGAAAAAAGGTAGAAAATCCAGGCTGTTAGAAAACTTTTTTTGAGATAACTAGAGTGCAAGTTAAATATTTTAAAATCTGCGAAGTTTTTTGCTTTTGGCTCGACTGCTCAACGCAGCAAGAACTTAAAAAACAAGGCAAAAAAATGCCTAGACCGCCGTGCTGAAACGTTTGGAAGCAAGGACTGGTCATAGGTAAGCCTGAGACATATCTTGTTAATTAAAGATAGATTTTTAAAGTGGCGTAATCTTTTGGATTAAATCTGCGTGTTTCGCAAATATACGCAACAAATGCACGCTAAACTCTTGCGTGTATAAGTTTTTTGTAACTAAACAGTGCCCATGAATGATATTAGGTAGCTTACGTGACGTTTATTAGTTTGTGCAACTGGGTTATTTTTAAAACGTTAATAGACAGGAAAAATATGTGGTGTCATCCTCAGGATTTGTCTCAGTTTTTTTCTGTTGCGCATTTAATAGCAGCGTGAAATCCTACCGAGGGTAACAGCGTGTCATTTTCCACTTTATGGTGCTTTACTGTGTCATTTCTACTGTGTACTTTACTTTGGAAATATATTAAACGCACGTGGCACCATTTAAAATGGGGAAAAGATATAAGTATTGATTTAAACGGGCCAGAACTGTATTACATTTCATTTTAGACATTTTAAAATGATCCAAACATAGGCAGCGAATTGCAGTAGTCATAAGGGAGTCCAGCCCCTGCAACGTGGATCGCGTCTAGTTGCATGTGACCAGATAAGAGGCATGGATAATTTTGCTAATTTCGTTCTTAAAAGTTATGCTTTCGAATAAAATATTACCGTTTGTTTTATTAATAAAAGCGTGTTAGTTATTTCTATTTCAATGTCATTGTCAATTCCTGATCCTGCAAACTTTGGGCGTGGACAGTCCTGCCCCTTTCACCCTCCCTTTCTGTTTATGGAGGAGCACACCCAAGTTTGTCAAAATGGCAAAACTCTGCTCTCCTTCATTGCTCTGAGCTTTTTATTCTGCACGATGCATTACGATATAAACTCTGCCGACGCTAATTTGTTACACAAACGTGTGTTTTTGCCCCCTTATACTCAGTTTTCCCCTCTTATACAGAGTTCGCTGTCTTCTATAACTTCTCCGCTGTAAATGAAGTTGATTCTTTGCGGCGTACTGAAACTCGCCCTCTCCCAAAGACTAAAACGTTATTGAACGTATCCAAAATGGGTGGAGTTTGGGAAAAGTTTCCTCCTCATAGCAATTTTCCTAGGTTTCCTAAACCTGGGATTCTCGCCAGAAAAAAATAGGGGGATGGGGAAGAAGGGTGGGGGATAATGGAATGCAGTGGTTTGGAAAGACCAGCTAATTGAAACCAGGTTTTTAGTGTAGAGAGGGCAGGAGCGAGGCTTTTCGCGAAGCAAAAAGGAGGTATTTTATCCTCAAAGTACCGCAATCCTAACAAGTACTTAAATATGAAGTTACATAATAGCTTAGTTCCTTAAAAAAATAATATTATTAGAAATGCGGTTTTTCTGGTATTTATTTGTAAGTATCAGTGTACTGCATTTCTATGTTGGGTGAAAGGGATTTTTGAGTACGGAATGGTCAGAAAGCGGACGAGCGACCGTAGGCGGCATTTGCTCCATGTTTCGTGTTAGACTTGGCGGAGGCGGCGTTCGGCTCTCGGAGCCCGTGGGGGGATTCCCCCCCCCCCCCCCCCCCCCCCCCCCCCCTTCATATTCCTTATCAACCCCCTTTCCTGTTATTTTTTTTCCTCTGGAAATTATTTTTCTTTTCCGCTCTTTCAAACCCGCCCGTGTCTCTTCTAGTTTTTTTTTTCTTCTAAGTTTATATGTGTTATATTTTTTGCCAGCTTCACTGGATAGTTCGATATTCAGGGAATCTCAGAGGCTGATTACAGAAATTCAGCTTTGAGAATCAGTTCTGCTGATTTCATGATCATTGCAGATAATGACATTGTTCTGCTTTTAAAAAATGGGTCGTATTTTCAGATCATGAATCTCCGCTCACCTGATAGGGCCGTTTCGTTTGGCCTGATGCACATTTCTGGCATGGCCTTATTTGTTTGGTTAGAGGTTTAATTTGACCAGATTGGGAGAACAAGCGCTCTATAAAATTTGCCTCTGAGAAACAATTTGATAAAGGAACATGGAATGGGATATTTATTTATATGTAAAGTGTGTAGCATTTAAACAAGTAATCTAGCCAGATGTATTTAAATGTGCAGTTTTATGGTTTACTGCTGCGATGTGACAGATGTACTAGTCTCTGTTGTAGTAGGTGAGGAGTAATGACAGGATTGTCAAAGGAATTGGAAGACACATTAAGCTGTATATTTGGTGTGTTTGATCTGATTTGGCCGTTTGGGACTGTTTAGCTTGATCCCCGTCTAGTGCACTTGCACACTTTTTCTCAATGAAAAAATCAGTTCTATCAGCTGCATTTTCATTCTCTGTCTCCGCCCCGAATTCCCCCCCCCCCCCCCCCCCCGAACACTTTAGTCTTATCTAGAGTACCATTACTGAGACTAATTGCTGGCAAAGGTCTTCCATTAAGCTGTAAGTTCTTCATGAGGACCTTGTAGAGCAGACTAAGAAAAACCCCACTACCACAGGCTTGGCACATGGGCGCTCGCGCACACACCAAATGCAAGACATTGCTGCGCAGTTAGTCACAGTGGGCGCGGCTTGGCTGCCCGCCTGCTGGCTCAGGAGCGGGCAAAGGAATGTGTGTGACTGCATCAGGGTGGGGTGGGGGTGGGGCCCTCCCTACTACAGACCTAAGCCCTAAGATGGCAGGTCCAGTTCTGCTGAGGATGTGGTCAAGGTTCCAACTGGACGGGAGGGTGGTATCGTAGTGCAGGAGTTTGATCTACTCTCACCCCGCCCCTTGGCACAAAACCCCAACCTAGCAAGGATTTTCTCCCCCAGCCCCGTCGTGTCTCTTCATTCCCCTCCAGAGTTTGCTTTAACGGCACAGCCAATAAGTGGACAGTTTACTGTGGAATATTTCATCTTCAGTATTTATTGCAGCTAATCGGGATTTTAGTTCCTGCCTTGCCCCTGGCCAATGGAGACATTTATGGACAGCAGGCAGCTCACGTTTCTCCTGGACGGCTCTGAAACAATCTGTATGGCTCTGGGTGGAAGCCTGGGTCTATGACATTGGTCAGCACATGCCTTAATCTTATGTGTTTACTACCAGGCAGTTTTATAGCCAAAGAGGGAAGTGGTTGAGTCTCTCGGCTTCGGCCATTAATTTGACCTGATACAGTTAATCACACGGCTACTTGGACCTATAAGCATGCGGTATTTGAAATCCGAACCGTTTTTCGCTCTATGCCAACGTCGCCCATAGAGCGGGATCCTGTGCGAAACGACATTTCTCTGAGTTACTACATAAGTCAGGTGGTGGTATCTTTATGTTGCTCATGACTTGCTGTCAATTTCTTCCGGAGGTCAATGACCTCCAAAGCGGAATTTTCGGAATCCCTGCTTGAAGAGCCCGGCCCGAGTTTCATGCAAAACTCCAGCTCTTGTGCTCCAGAAAGACCTGCAAGGAGCTGTAATGTAACAGGCGACTTGAGTTTTTCGCTGTAAAATTCAGACGTGTTGGCATCTGGCCCACAAACTCCACCCCGCACACCTTCATCCTTGTGATGGTGTCTCTCCTGCTTTTTACCTTCTCATGTTTTGGACAGATATTTCGCAGTTTGAGCTTTGCCTTAACTCTATACCCCCTTAAATGAAGTTGTACATTTTTTTTACAAACTGTATGTATGTTTGTAAAGAGCACGGCAGTGTCAATACAGTGAATACAGTGTGACTTTTCCTGTCCAGGTCTCCATCCTGTACCATATGTGCATCTCTGCTCGCCTTTCCCGGGTCAACAGAAGGCATTAAACAGGTAAGCGTCTGTCCTCTTTTGATGTTCCCAGCCTGTGTGTGAAGTATAAACAGCTGCTCTAGCTCGTGTGTTTGTGTATCTCCACAAGTGGAGGGGTGGGCGGGTGCTGTTGAATGCCTGTCATAAGTGTCTTTTCTTTTTTCCCCTCTTGCTCTGACTGTCCTACAGCATTAACTGTGAAACTCTTTTGCCGGCCGTCAAAGCCGGACTGTAGTGCAGAGCCTAGCTTTTTATTTTCGATGGCAGATTCAAATGATGTCAAGGGATAGTTTGTCCAAGTGGAAAAGCTGTCGAATTCAGTGCTAAATTGCATCCAAATCTGGAAAAATTGAAAGGACACAGAAGTCTTTGTTCGCGTTGTACTCTTCTGAAGCCGGAGAGAGCAACAAGTGAGTGCATGTTTTTGTAAACGATCCTCGTAAATGTATGCATGCAGTCACGTCGGACTTCAGTTTTGGCCTGGAATGTTTTTCTCCTTTACCCCTCTTGATCAGAAATGCGAAATGTATGTTTTGCTGTAACACTAGATGCAGCTTGAACTCCAGCATTAAATCTAGTGCCAGCTTTAATCCAGACCAAGTTGTAAACTGAATGCTATGCAATCACAGGATTCTTCTAAAAAGGGGTTTATCTGCACAGGGACACACATTTCAGTGCTGTTTAAAACATTTGTGTCTCACAACATTTGTGAGAACTGATGCAGTTTAAACACTGTCTGATGTTCAAGATTGTATTTTAAAACAATATATAAGGGGTGTGTGTGTGTGTGTGTGTG